TAAAAAGAAAAATAAAAAGGCCAGGAATTATTTTAATGTTAAAAAATAAAATAAAATAAAAGCGGATATGGCATCGCTACTAGTAAAGTGGAATACATCACAGAAACCAAAGTCTTTTTGCAGGCAACACTGTTCGGAGAGAGGAGAACACTTGACGGGTGAAAAAAGTGAAGTCCTAAATTATATACAATAGTATCTAGGGGTGGCTTTGAAAAACAGTCTCCTTTAACGTGATTCAAGGTTTAACTTGCCGTTATCTATTGCTTATTTATTCAGATCCGTAATAACACTTAAGAGAGAGACGGATGCGTAAAAATGAGACACCGTGGAATAAAGAAAAACCAAAAAAACCAGCTTTTCGTATGAAAACGCCACGTGTACGCGCTTGTCCAATGTGGAATGTACCTACAGTCGTTTCACGGGCCGGGGGCTTCTCCTCGCCGCGCCGCTCCGGTAGGAAAACCGGCCGGTCCGTCTGGCAAGAGAGCCGGGACACGCTCGCTTGCTGGGGATGAGCTCGTGGAAAGCGCCCCGCAAGCCTCTTATCACCCCAAAACTCGTTTCCAGGCGGAAAAGTCCGACTTGCCCGGCTGTGAACGGACAGGATCCGAAAGCGTCTGGTAGCGAGATGGAAAAAAGGGGCAGAAAGCCCTAATCCTTATGAAGGACGAGACTCAGTTGTTAAATTTTAAGGGGTATCCGATGGCTTTTTCCAGGCACTCTACCAAAGAGCCGGCGGAAAGAAAATCCCTCTCCACTTCCACAAATTTGATGTAGATGGATTTGGGCGACACGCCGGGCTCTACGACGCAGTTCTGAGATAAAAAGGCGTTGATCCCGACCCAATCTTTGCTGAAGGTTTTGGTGTTTGCCTGAAAGTGTAAAAACAGGCACTGCTGGAGAGTCCGGACCTCGGCGATGCCGAGGTAACAGTAGATAATCCGGGCGGATTCCATATCCACCCGGAGGGAGGCTTGCGGCGAAGGGACCTCCAGCTCCCCTTGAGTCTCATTGCCGGGATCGGGCCCCCTGTGCTCGGCGAGAGGGGAGGGGGGTTTCTCGTGGCACTCTTCGTAACCGATGGCGTACAAGCCGGGGCTTTTGGGGATCCCTCCCGGTAATAAATACTGAACGACATTTCCTCCGGTGGGTTTGGAGTGAGCGATGGGTATCCAGTCGATCTCCATGTGCAGCTCGAGGCATCTGGCTTCGCTGATGGTGATCTCCAGGAATTTGTAATAAACGTTTTTCCAGTTCATTTTCTGCACTCTGGTCATGATAACCCGACCCTCCGGTTTTTCCGAGTTGAAATATTCCCGGAGCCGCTTGCCGAGGGGTACCTGCGAGCTGATCTCCGCGTAGTGGTAACGAATATCCTCCTTCCAGCGGGTGTTGTAACCGATGCCGAAAATGGCCAGTTTGTTAGAAAGATGTAGCCTGGAGAAGTCCGTCCAGCTCTGAAACAGCTCCCACTTCAACTGGACCGACTCCAAGATTTGCATAATATTCTGCATGACGTCGCGCTTCCTGGAAATTAAAAAACACGGAGAGAAGGATAAAGGCATCCGTAAACTGGAGCTGCAAAAGCACCCCGGCGAACGCACCGACCTGCGGAAAAGTATTAATCCCTTTCAGCTTTCTCGACTGCTTTTTAGGTGGTGGGTATTTTGTTACTATATATGCCCTATATTGCTAGGCGAGTTTACGGATTATAACACCACACTGATGGTTTTTTTAATTAATTTCAGCAAAACCAAAGGAAAATCCAATCCAAACTCCTTCCAATATCTCAAGCAAATGACAATCTCTGGTGGAAATGAGAATTCACGCAAAAAGTTCTGCAGGATATAAAGAAAACGAGAGCTGATAAATCCCCAGGTTCAGCTTCCAAGAAAGATTTCTGCTCTTACCAACCCCAAAAAAAACACGCGGTGGAAATGTCCTGCTCCCACCTGCGCTGCTTCAAAGCGATTGCAAGCAAACACGTGCCTGGTGCCGCTAAATAAATGCAAACTCAAGTTACTGTGTTATTCTTCACAGCCGTGAGGTGTGGTGGTGCATCTCCCCCTCTCTCCTGGGCCGGTCTACGATCTCAGGAATTCCCATTAGGCTTGGCCTTTGTGTAATGAGTTGGGTGGTTAAGCGTCCCTTGACCATACCAGGAACTCTTGCATGGGTAAGGTGGGGAGCAGCACTGACCATACCAGGAATTCCTGTTGCCTGGCCAAGGTGGGGAACGAGAGCGGGAATAATTCATCATCCCCTGACAGCCTTGGAACATTCCTTACCTGGATCCTAGCTCAAGTGGAACGGTACCATTGTTACTGGAATTTTGAGAATTCCGGTAATTACTGACCCGGATCGCGGCCAGGATGGAAATTTATGGATGACTAAAGCCAATCATCTTGCGAACCTATAAAGGGTGGTCTTAAGTGAGACCCTTTGAGCTCTCCCGGACCACAGCGGGCTGCGCCCAGCACCTCCCTCTCAGTGGGATGCCTCTCGGAGCTCGCGACCTCTCGAGTCTGCGATATTCGGAGGACCGTCGCCGAAAGCCGACGACGGGACCTGGGCTGAAGCCCTTCGCTCCTCGAAGCTCAACCCTCGCCCGTTGAGAAACGCCGAGACATTTTACGTGAATATTTCACTGAACTCGAGGGAATTTTTAACTTTGTACATTTATATATCTTTGTGTCTGTGTGTGTGTTAATTGATTTAGGTACCCGATAGCAAGTATAGTATAAATACTGTCATCTCGAATCTGTAATTAAGTCACTATTGTGATTGTAGTAAATTCTATTGACTCACTTTGTAAATGTTAAATTAGTCAATGATTAAGTGCTGCTAAAATCTTGTGATCCACCTTAAAACTGTGAATGAACCTTAGACTACCACTAGACACCTATAATCCCTTAGACATAAACAGATGACCAACTCTGGGACTAGGAGCGGATCCAGCCACACCTAAGCTCCATTAGGAGTTTAGAAAGCAAGGGGGTTCACTCTGAACCTCATGACTCAATGGGAGGGTCTCCTTACTCTTTGTATTTCTTCCATGAGACATAAACTGTCGACAAAGTCTGAGACTAAGATTGGACCTAGCCGCACCTAAGCTCCATCAAGAGTTTAGAAAACAAAGGGGTCTTCTCTGAACCTCGTGACTCAACGGGAGGGTCTCCCTATTCCTTTTATCTCTCCCATTAGATATAAACCGTTGATCAAGTCTGGCACTAGGAGTGGATCCAGCCGGGTCTTCTCTGAACCTCATGACTCAACGGGAGGGTCTTCCTTACCCTTTTGCGTCTTTGGTCTCTGTATAAATCATTCCAACTCGATTCTAATACGATTTTCCTTTATATGTTTCATCCACGTAGTAAGTGACAGAGTGAACCTTGCCATCAAACACTGTTCAGTCGCACTTTTGTAAATTCCTATTAAACCCACTTTTTGCTAATACCTTTGACGGTGATTCTTTAAGTGATCTAAATCACTCATCTGCGACAAGCCGTGTGTTCCCATCGGCACACGGTCCGTTGCAGATGACCTGAGCTGCATCCCTATTTTGCAGCCACCACTCAAAACACTTCCACCTCGTCATGACTCCAAAATCAATGCGAGGGAACGGGACTGTAATTGTAAAAACCACAAAGCAAGTGCCAAGCCGCTCCGAAAGGCTCGGTCCCAGCGCTGGATCAGAAACACGGCTCAAGGGACTGACCCCGTGGAGCAGAAGATGCCGGTGACGATGACCTGCACCCAGACACAACTGATGCGATAACCCGCTGCACGATGGACAGCAGAAATCCCTCTGGATATCCAATAAAGAAATCCCTGTGTTGCCAAAGATTTCTTTTCGATCCCGGTAACGACACCGGTATGAAAGTGAGTTTCCACAGAAGGATTTACACTTTGCTAAGCAATCAGGAGAGAGCATCGCGTGCGCCTGAAGCAAGCTGGAACAGCTTCCTCCAGCATGAATGAGACACTCAGGATGTAATTAGCTAGTAGGGAGGAACTACTCATTTTAGGAGTTATTGTCCTATAATCAAAGCAGTAGGAAGATAATGCAACTCGTTTGCTAACGAGAAATCTCTCTAGGTCCAACAAATGCGATTTAAAAGCTTGCTCCATGCAACTCTCCTCTCTTTTATCTGTTGCGCTGCATCTGTAAAGCTGAACTGCAATTGCAAGGGGGCCACCACATCCCCAAGAGGGTCTTTCCTCCTCCCACATCCCACCAGGAGAACAGATTGCATCTTTAGTCCCTGCACGAGGCGACACCGGTTTTCTTCTGCGGGGCACGCACGAACTTCCCTCCTCTTGCGGGAAGAGATCTTCTCATGAAGATTCACTTAAATTCCCTAAAATCAGCTTTTCCCAACAGCTCCCCCATGGAGTTAGGGCATGAGACTGGTGAGGGACACAAAGGTCTTTAAGCAAGAGCAGATACGACGCCCCACAAACCGCACAAGGATACGCCTGAGGTTGAGACTCTGACAGTTGCATTTCTGCCCAATAAATCCCTACGCGGATCAGAAGGTCTCTTTTTCCATCATATTGATACAAGCATTCAAAGAAAAAAGGTTTGGGAGCTGCAGACCCTTCCCATGGTGCTGGAGAGGTCCAACCTCACAGCCTCTTATCTCAAAAAACCTGCTTAAATATAATGCACGTGATTTTGGGAAGGTTCTCCAAGCGCTGGTTGTCCTTTAGGCGATCTGAAAGCACTGGGCTTGGGACCGCAGAACTCTGTGTCGAGCAGTTTGACGCACGATGGTTGGTGCACACCAGCTCTGCAAACCTCAGGTGGGGTGTCCAAGCCGCCCAGAGCGAGTCCGAGCAGTCCAGGCTGAGATTGCTCACTCCTCACGGCGACGTGAGGGACTCCATCCATCAGCACACCGCCTATCTTAACTATCTAGCAAGCAGCAACCATGCCAGAAGATTCCTGGATAGACCGAAAAAGGCGTTTTGGCAAGCACATCTCTGCCACCATCAGAGCTTAACTGAGTTTCTAGAGCACCAAGGAGGGGACCTGCTTGGCAAGCGGACTTGTGTTTGAGCCAAGGTTTTTTTAAAAACGCCTGTTGCGTCGTCAACAAACTCCTGTTTCTTATTTTAAGTTCTGAGGAGTTATTTCCACCTCCCCCCCATCTAGCAGCAAAGGAGGGAAACGCCATACAAGAAAAATGCGTATTTACTCCAATTCCGTTTCTATTTACATACAAACACTGCGGCAATACAAGCCCGGACTGTTCCAAAGCTTCTCTACAGCTTCCCTGACGCTTCTTCAGATCTTGAGCAGCGCAGCATTGCTATGCTTGGAAAACATCTTTTTTAGACTTTTGGAAGTGGAAATTCACCTTCAGGGGACCAGACAGACGAGGGGACAGGGTAAGCGCTGGCTCGGCGCAGCGCTGTTTGGTAGCGCAGAGCCTGTGTTTCACCACTGTTATACAGTCATTTGACTCAAGACAGACAGCTGAACTCAGTTTAAAGAAAGCAGTCCCATCCAAACCCGGAGACAGAAGAAAGCAGCGTGGGTAGATTTTCATTCAACAGTGGAGGAACAGAGCTAAGAACCAAAAAAAAAAAAAAAGCCCCCACCTTTATTAATTACACTATAAATACTCTCGCTAAGTTTAGTTCAGCACAAAATAGAGCTGAAGCTCTGGTGAAAAAAAAAAATTAGTCACTCATCAGACTGCTCCTACTGAGAAGAGGAATAATTTCACTAGAGATGATCTCCAGCAGCACCTCGTGTACAGTAGAGAAGGGCTTTCCACAGAGGGAATCCATCACTTCGAGCACGGAGGAACCAATAGGGGAAAAAAGAAATTTTAAAAAGCTCTGCTTTTCGGTTTTAGCATCTCCTCTTCCCGCTTACACCAGGACTCGATGGCTCTGCAGCCGCCCCACTGGGCTTCGCTTTCCCAGGCTCTATCCAGCATCTCCGTGACTCAGCCAAGCAGAGGTGTAAGCAGTAAGAGTCAAATTGCTACTATTATTTATTTTTTAATAGAAAAAAAATCTGAGCTAGCAGAGGGTTTACCCTGTGTGACACGCTGTGTCACAGGGCCATCTCATTTTTCATCTGCAAAAGGTGCCCTAGAGCTGGATTTTACTCTATCGTCAAACCACGACCTCCGGGCTGGAGACTGGCCATCTGCATTTCTTTCTCCTCGGAAGCTTTTGCAATTCAAATGAGGAAAGACACTAGACGTGGTGCAAATTTGTTCTAAGGCGCTGTTTCCAAACAAAAGCAGACTTCAAAGCAGTTGCAACAGCTGGTTTCAGTGAAGGATCCAGCTCCCCAAGCTTCTTCTAGTTCATCTTCACAAAGCCCACAGTGAGTAAAACCGCTCCTCAAATAAATTTAAAATAGCAGAACAGAGTCTTAAGTAGCATTTCACTTTTCAAAACAGTTTATTTGGAGGCAGCAGCGTGCCAAGGGGATGCAACAGCAGAGCCGAAGCGGGGAAGGAGAGTCCAGCTGACAGAGCACGGGAGCCGGACACAGCTTACCTCTGCTCTTCGCTTCCTATACCGCCGAAAATAAGACAACCCGGGAAATACGGGAAGTCCTTATATGTCTTCGGAGGCCAGTTACTTACTACCTGAAGCTCAGACAGGCAGCGCTGTCCGTGCTAACGTGCTGTGCAGCTTGCTTAGAGACACAACGCATTAGGTTTATTGGTGCACGATCAGGTCCCGGCGCTGGCCGAGCTGGCAGGAGCAGCTGAACCCCTGGCAGGCAGCAGGAGCAAAAGGAGCTCCTTCTCTTTCTGCAGGTTTGTGGTCAGTTGATAGCGACAGCAGCTTCACACGTGTGTGTTTTATCGGGAAAAGAAGAGCCAGAATAAATTCCAGTGCTCAGAGAGCTCAGTGATACGTTTCCTATAGGAAGCATCTTAGCGGCACTCTCCCACCCTCTCTGCTAGGAAAATAATGTCATGGTGCACATCTGCTCCCGTGGTTTTCTGCAAGCTGCTTAGCTCCAAAAAATCCTTCCAAAAATCCTTCCAAAATCCCAGGGGAGGGAAAGGGATAAGCAAAGTCAAGATTTTTAGCAATACACATGCTTATAGTCCGGCATCACCACACTATAATTTCTCCATGTCAAAAATCGCAGCACAGGGTTCAGCAAAGAACTTGAATACACTGCCACTCCCTCCGATTTTATTGAGATTATTTCTGCTGAAAATCTGTACGTGACCAAGAACGCAGATGAACTGAAGCCCTACCTTCTTTGAAGTAAGTTCTATGTATTTTAAAACACCGGCCAAAGAGGTGAAAAAGTTTGGCATCTATTTATCGCCTGTGGCTTTTAAGAATAGACGCAATTCTGTTTTTTGAAGATAATAAATAAATACCCCGCTTATCTTCATATCAGCCACACTTCTCCTGACCGCTTTCAATCTACTAAGTCAGAGTTTAAAAGGTCCTTGCTCGCATAGTGGGGGAAAAAAGTAATCTTCAGCAAAGCTTTGTGCTTCCATCGAGCATGTAAGGTGGGTTTATCACCTGCATGCTTCACAAAATGCCCGAGAGTCCAGGGACTCCTGTGCATTTTAGAGGGAACCTGGGGGGGAGGAGGGAATAACCATAAAACTCTGGAAAGTCTAACCTATCAAATCTAATCCAGCCATCCATATACACAACAAAACCTGGAAGAGAAGATTCAGCCTCTCCGAGCCTCCACCTCGGAAAATTCAGGATTATTTTCTATGCAGTTCTCTAACGCACGCCTTGAAAGGTAAAATTGTCCCAGAACGGTCCTAAGAAACTGTTCAAAGAGGCAGTAATAATGTTTACACTGAAAAAAGTTATTTTTGTCCAGGTCATGCCTGGGTTGCTAAACTGAATTTGCTCCACGTTAAGAAAAAAGTCACCTTTGGGTACCGTGAAAATCCATCTGAAGTGAGGAGTTTGACAAAGCTACGCCTTTACAATGGAACCTTCTTTTTTTATTTTTTTTTAGGTTTTGGAGGATTTTTTTCATTTAGTTACAGTAAAAAGCCTCTGTTGTACTACTAACCAGGGACACTATGTTAATGTATACAGTGCCGACGACTTCCTACCCTACAGAAGCTCGTTTTCGAGCATAGGAAATACCAGATTGACTTCAGATGACACCACAAATTACTGGCGGGGGGGTGTGTGAGTGGAAGACACGATGCCCCATATGCATTCCCATCCCGAAGGATCTGCGAGCCAATTTGTGATAGCTCACCCCCCATCACAGACAAATCTACAACCATCCCGTGGGTTTTAAAACCCTGAAGGTCGGAAGAAAGTAGCCCTGGTCCGAGTAAATACAGCACAATTCCTTTCATTTTTTGAAATGCTCTGTGTTATTGTTGGCGAGGCAAGGGAGATTCGCATGCTCAAAGCATTCGAAATGCTCCGGTATTTGTCAGATTAACCCGATCCAAAAGGTTACAAGTCAGCTCTGGAAAGTTATAAAAATAAAAAAAAAAAAAAATCACAAGCTTTGGCATGCCTTCCCACCAAGGAGAGGAAATGCATGAACTTTTCTTGCAAGCATTACTCACACCAAGCCAACAGTACACACTACTACCGGGGTGCTGCGTCCCTCTTCTCACTCTTTCTTTCCTCCACTCCTCCTACATTCTCTTTTTTCCTTAGGTCCAAAGGCAAACTTCAGGCAGATGGAAAAAAAAAACCCAGATTACAAATAGATCCAAGAGTTTGGCCTCGTGTCATGATACCCGCAGCCTGCCCACACGCATCCCTAATGAATCTGATGTATATTTTATCCGCATTTTAAGTCCTTGCATTCGTGTAGTAAGTCTTGTTTCATTTGCTGAATGACGAAGCCAAGAAGACACAGAGTTGTGAAGCTTTTCAGATGTTCTGAGGTAACTGGAATAATGCATAAAGCAGATTCAACTGTATGAATAGTCTTGCACAATGTATTTATAATTATAATCAGAAGTTTCAAATATCCTCCCCTCCTGCACAACATCCCCAGGGAAACACATTCCAGGGTAAAACATTCATAAATTACTTACTGCGTGTCTTCTGAAGATTCCTGTTTTATCTTTAATGTTCTTTTTGTGGTAGGCATTTCATCTGAAAGGTAAAATTCCAACACATAATTATATTTTAAATAATGTTCCTGGGGCTTTCTTATAAGGCTGAAATTAATAAATAAATAAAAAATCAAAATTGCTTCCTAAGCTAGGCAGTCCACCAAGTTCTGCACGAGATGGTTCCAGTTCCTAAATCCTCCGTAACTGAATATTATTTTTTTGCTTGGAAGAGATGTGATCAGTTAAGATCTGAATCTGTCTTTGCAAGTGCAAAACCTTTGAAGGACAAGACTACAATTCCCACTATTAAATCACAAATCAATTTAATTGCAAGCTACATTGTTAAAAAAAAAAGGAAAAAAGAAAGAAAAAAGGCTATTCTGCTTTCAATGGCACATTTGAAGAGCAAGCACCAGAACAAATGCATCTGTATTCCATTTAGATGTTGTCTGCTAAGTGCTTTTCTCATAACTTCACTGAACATTAAGAATATCGTCAGCCCAAGTGCACACAAATGCCTCCGATTCAACAGAAGGAAAACGGTGACAAACCAGGAGACCACGGTTTGACTCACCAGAACGAATCAAACTAGATAGAATTAGCCATCATTTACATACGTTTTGTAATGTCGTCTTCTCCCCACCATTTCTCTCCCACATATTTCTGACTTTTAAATCCCCTGGGGAAGAAGTCTGAGAGAACCGGAACGCGGTTAACAGCCAATTTGCAAATTTTAACATTAAACTGTGATTTAAGCCTCTTTAAAAGCATCCCAACTCACCAGTCCCCTGAACACAGATGTGTACAGATACGTGACTGCCTTTCCTATCCCTGTTTCGGCCTACAAATCACGAGGGGGAAAAAAACATCCCACCAAGAGCCTTTATCCAATTCACTTTCTAACTACTGCTTCACTTGGGTCTCCATTGAATTTGATCGACTTAAAGCTTCCGCTGTGAAAATAACCCCCTCGCTCAGGCAAGGTAGGAACACGTGCCCGTAAGATCAGTGGCTCAAGAGATATAAATGTACTTACAGAAACCCACTTCTTCACAAAACTGCTCAGATCAGTCTGCATTTTCAATCAAGAATGTGGTACCTTGCTCTGTTTGACAAAGTTCAATAAGCCACAGGCAACAACCTGTCCTGGTTTCGGCTGGGATAGGGTTAAATTTCTTCCTAGTGCTGTGTTTTGGATTTAGTATGAGGAGAATGTTGATAACACACTGATGTTTTCAGTTGTTGCTAAGTGCCCTGCTAGTCCAAGGACAGCTCCCATGCCTACCGACTGAGCTGGGTACACAAGATGGGAGGGAACATCATCAGGACAGCCAGCCCAGCTGGCCAATGGGGTATTCCATACCATGTGACATCACGCTCAGTATACGAATGGTAGGCGTGATCCAGGAAGTACCGATCGCTACTTCGTTATCGGTCAGCGCGGGTGGTGAGCAATTGCATTGTGCATCACTCATTTTGTATATTCTATCATTATTATTATTAGTCTCCCTTTTCTGTTCTATTAAACTGTCTTTATCTCAACCCACGAGTTTTTCTCACTCCCACCCTTCCGATTCTCTCCCCGCCCCACCAGCGGGGGGAGTGAGCGAGCGGCTGCGTGATATTTGGCTGCCTGTCAGGTTAAACCACGACACAACCAAATCTCCAAATTAATTAATATGTTGATTCTTATGCAGAGACACCAATAACTCGGGCAAGAAAAGCCTGTGGAGGAGTTCAGTTTAGGTCTCAACCCTGGACTGTGAGCTTGCTTGCTTTTTTTTTTAATTTAAAAAAGGCCACACATCTGGATATAAGCATACTGACATATTTAAAACTAACATACTAGGTTAGGGTATATAGGAAGAAGGAGCAACATTTATAGTCATCAGTATTAATAGCAGCGGTCTGAAGTCCTGTTCGTAATTTAAGTGAACGGTGTTTGAACGGTAACCCACGGGCTCAGCTGGTGCCCAAGGATATCCAAAGCAGGCTACCACTAAAAGGGAAAATCCCTCCCCTGACCCCACGAGGGGAAGTAGAACAGAGCAGGGAAGGAGAGACCAGGAACATGTTGCCACCTCGTCCTCCACTCTTTCTGGCCACGCAGCGCTTCTTTCCTCTTGCTAGGCTCTTTAAACTCAAGTCCTGATCCTAAAATACTTTGGGAACCGCGGTTTGCTTTTGATGATGAACTGGGGAATTTCTTCCCCTTTTCTCCCCAAAGACATCAGGCGTTTAGCATCTAGAGCACATTATGTCCGAAACATGAAAGTTGGTACTGAGATATGTATGTGTGAGATAGGTATAAGCACAGAGCACAGACAAAATCAGAGGATGGAGATGTGCCAAGATGGGATTTCTTACCCAATTCCTGTTCGCCCGTCTGGTAGCAATGAAGATCCTGACTGTGGTTTCCCCAGTCCTCCTGCGAATACTCCTCCATCGTGCTGCCGTCCGACTCCAGCTCCTGGTACAAGCCGCTGCTGTTGATGAGGACGGGCTGGCAGGGCTGGGAGTCCCATCCTCCCTGCCCAAACACCTGCTCCAGCTGTTCAAACGTGTAGCTGCTTTTCCTCTTCCCAACGCCATGCTCCTTCACGCGGCTGTAGCACCTGCGAAGGGTCTAAGACAGAAAAACACATGTTAATCGGCAGCGACGGGTTGGAAGAGCACACATTCACTTGCAGACAGTTACAGGCAGTTTAGGGTGGGTTTTTTTTTTTTTAAACTTCTGCTGATCAGTATTTGACCCACGCTCACAAGCTAAATGCAATGCTTCCAAATTAATCTACGCCCGCCAGGAAGCATCGTACATATCTGACGTTCCCGCTGCAGCGATTTAGCGTTAACATCTACGATACAGGACAAAGTTGCGTAGCAGTGACAGGTTCGTCAGATTTAACTCGGGCGATTTATTCTCTTCCCCACTTCAAAAAAAATCCCCAGATCTGCTCTATGTAACATAGGGGGGGAAAAAAAAAAAAATACCAAGAGACCCCCAGTCAGAGATACCAATGAGCCAAGAAAATGCACACCTACTACAAGGAGGAGAAAGCAGAGCTGGTGTTGTGCCCACAGCTTGGAGAAGGTGAAGCGGGGAGGAGAGAGAAAGGAAAAGAAAAAGAAGAGTCCCCCAAAGCAAAGACGGTCCAACCTTCCTTACTCTGGTAAGAAGACACAAGGTACAAAATGTATATGCCTAAGCTATTCAGCTAGGAAAATATATATTACTTACATATTTTGCATTCCTTACTAACTCACTCTGTCTCTTGTGAAGCTGCTGAAATTTAAAAGAGGTCAAATCAATAATGCTCCAAATTCCCAGACTTCGATATCAAGCATTAAGTAAGAAACAATACTAAGATGGCTCTGTCTAATAAGTCTTTAAAACACTGCTGAGGCTAAACCTCCCATAAAGACAGATGTAAAAACCTGGTCTACTTTTGGTGATCCCTTTAGCATCCCGCACTGATAGCCGAGCCAGTGCATCACGGTCGCTGCGCGACAGCGAGGCAAAGCTGTATAAGCCTATGATTTCTGTCCACATTTCACCCCTAATCCAGAGCAATACACAACTATTTAGGGGTAAAAGAAAAAAAAAAATCAAATCTTTATGCGCATCCCTCAATCTGGTTTTAATTCTACCACCACTCTATGTTTGAAAGATAATGATGTGCCCCAGGTTTGCTGGATCTTTTTGGTTTTTGGATTGGCAGAGTGCTAGAAAACATGTTTTTCGTATTAAATTTATTAGATAGCTCAGGTTCTAGCTTGAATGGCAAAGCCACCTCTGGAATTCAGAAGAGGCATTAATTTGGGAAGAGCTAGTCCTGTCACCTTTCTTTCTGGAGGAGGACTGTAACGGACTTTCAAGCACACATCATCGCAAAAACCGCTTGTTTTTTCCCCCAAAAGGAACCTTTACATCTTCAGAAAGCCTGAACCTAATGCTCTTCATATACTGGTTTAACAGCATCAGCAGGACAGAAATACA